CTTCTTCTTTAAAAATCTATATGATAATGTATGGAAATACAGATGCAAACTTCTCATTACTTATGAACTTTCAAAAGATATTAATAAATAAATTAAACGCAAGCAAAATGCCTGCAAATATTTACTGCACTCCCTTAAAAAACCTTCATCTCTAATTTGGGAATTATGGATTCACAAAGCAAATATATATGGTAACTCTTGGACGGATTTTTAGATAGGCACTGATTTTTTCTTTTTCTTTTTCTGGTGATAATAGTAGTTATTAAATATGCATTTAGTAGATTTGTTGGAGGGAAAAGACGATGATAGGTCGATTTAAATGGGTTTGTAATATAACTACGAGGAATAGCTAGTACTTTAAAATTAGTTTTTTGTTTTTACTTTTGTATTTACTACTTATAAAAATTAAATAAAGTTATTGGCAGTGCCACATCATTAAAAAAATTCATTTCGACCATTTTGATCATTTCAGATATCCGAAATAATCCATTTCGATTTCATGTATAGTCATCATGTTATCAAGCTGGAACCTAAAATTACATGCCCAAAAGACCAGCCAAAGTTATACCATAGAGCTAGGTAAAATTAATCGCAAATTTACTGCGCCATCTATCGCCTCTTTTTTATACAATTTCAGTATTTTAAAAGGCAACCAAATAGGCGCAAAGGGTAAGCATCTCAATATGAAATCTAGCATTCAGTCAGGTGCAGAAGGCCAATGTTCTCAACATAGAACCAAGCATCCAAACAAGGATGGAAAGCCGATACTAACAATATAGAATTTAATATGTAAACGAATCAGAAACAAGAAGAAAGCAGTAACTATTAGATCATGTCATCACTATTAATTTAAAGCAAGACCATCTACTATTAGATTATGAAATCACCATCCTATTATACAGGAAATGATTAAAATAATGTAATAAAAGCAAAGTAGCTACCTATAAGTAGATTATAAAGTTACCATCAGATTATAAATGGTAGGTTATAAAGTTACTACCAGATCATGAATTTAGATTATGAAATCGCCATCATATTATAAAGTTACCAGCAGACTATAAAGTTACCATTATATTATGAAGTTATTAGCAGACTATGAAGTTATCTTTATGACCTAACTCAAGTCGCATAATATAATTTTTTTCAAATAAGTTTTTCAATTGATAAAGATATAAAAGATAATATTATTATTCATTAATCTGATTTTTATATAAAATTATCTCTAGAAATTAAATTTGAAGTTGAATTAACTATTAAATTTGTTTAATAAATATCATTCTATATCCCTATGAAAAATAAATGTCTAGAAAATATCATTGAAAAAGTTTGGATGTATTTGAAAAATATCTGGAAAATGTCTTGATATTTCATGATTTAGGATAAATCAATGTCTAGAATGCTACCAAATCCAGAAATTATTCATAAATTCTAAACAAATAAAATTGATCATTTTTCAAATATAAAAAAATTGAAATTTTTGAACTGAAAAAATTCTTGATAAATCAAAATTCTGGATAAATTCCAAAAAAATATAAAAAGCACAAAATTGATATTTTATACCTTTCTTCTTATATTAAGTAAACTTGAAGAGTAGTCAATAATACTATCTATAATATTAAATTAAAGTCATAAATAACTATACATTCACCATTTGGTAATAAGTTTCAGATGAATATTATATTTCTAAATAAAATCTGGACAATAGCAAATCCAGACAAAAACAGGTCTTTCATGTTTCAACACATATTCTGGACATAGTGATCTGTCCGGAATTTGTCTTAACTATTTTCTATTTCTAAACATTTTGTTAACAAATTCTGGACATCATTTTTTCATAGGGTACCATCCAATAGATTAACTTACAGTATATTTGTTTTAACATATTCTTTTAAAGCAAATAGTTTAATATTTATGACCTATTACTGTAATTAAGTTTTTCATTTTATAACTATTAAACTTACCATTTTTTTGCAAAAGCATTTTTTTTATTATAGGCTTTACATTATAGTACAAACATTAATTTATTTTGTATATCACTTTTTAATCATAGATCATAGATATTTCAATTTTTCCAACTTGAATTTTTATTTTTAAAAGAATTTTTTGCGAATGATTTTTATATAACATTGTGTCCAAATATAATTATTATGATTTTTTTTTAAGTAATGTAATTTAGTATAATGTTTTACATTTTCGAAATGAAATGAATATTAATCAAAACAAAAAAAAAAAAAATGAATTTGAAATAATCAATATATACTTTATATATATATATCCTATTATAAAAGAATTATTGCTCTTTTTTCCCTCCCTTTTTTTTTAAATTATCCTTCACTTCCTTTGCGTCTATTTTTTGATGCATCAATACACGGTATTTTACAGTCACAATTTCAGTGTATCGATTTTCATAATTGGAATTTTTATACTCAATTACTTAATTATGCATGAATGGGCGTCAAAAAAGTATAATTTTTTTTGTATTCTGAATTCGTCAAAAAAAAAATATATTTTTTTTTAAAAAAAATTTTCATTTGTACAATTTATTATCAATTTTTTGTCTTTATGAAAAAAAGGTAATTAAATAATTAAGGGAATTAAAGGTATATAAATAATTATTATAGACTAATTTTACTTAATTCTTATTTAGAAATAACATCATAACGATAACCTAACAAACAAAAGGAAAATTTAACGAAATTATTAATCATAATATAAAATAATTAATAAACATAATTAATAAACATAACGCATAATGGAATATAATAATAACTCTTTTTCTTAATTAGAAGGGGGAATATTAAAATTTACATAATTTTTTTTATCATATGGTTTTTTAGCGTTTTACGATATTACGTTAACTATATTTCAAGGATAAGAAATGTTGTGAACGATTAATCATTTCGAGCGAAGCGAATAAACTTTTAAATACTGGAAAGTTCTCTAATCCATCCCATAATCATTCCTTGTTCTTCGGTATCTCCTCTTCTTCGGCCCATAACGAAAACATCGAACGGTCTATTAGTATGATCCTTGGTAATAGCGACACACTCCATTTCAGGCAAATCAACGATTTGAACCTGATCCCATCTTTTTTTATCAGGTAAATATAATTTGCATAATTCCCAAGGTTTTTCTTGTTTTGAATGTTTTCGTTCTTTTATCTCTTCCTTGACCACTCCTCTATGTTTTTTTTGTTTATTTATGAAATTAAAGGTAGTACCAGACTCTTGTTGCTCGTTATTACTTTTACTTTTTTCATCTTCGTTTGGAGTACGCTCAAAGTATTCGCCATCAATTCGATCTGAAAGTTGTGTGATTTCATTAACGCAACATTTCCAATTATCTCTTTCATAACCTCCTAGAACTGCAACTCGATTTCCAACACTAAACATTGCCGCGCCGCGCCTTCTACCTACACACTTTCCAGTAGTAGCATGCCATACTCCTCTAATTCCACTTGAAAATGCGGTTGAAGTAAAATTTCTTGGAGAAAATAATTTTTGCCACCTTTCTTGTTGAAATGATGATGAAATACGACTCGCACCGCTACGACTACTTGAACTGCTTTGAGGTGTTTTTTGTCCTTCTTCCGCTGAATCTTCCGCAATTTCGACAGGATTATTACTAAATGTGAAGCACCATAAATCTTCATCGTCATGGATTTGAGAATGAGGTGTTGAAGATGATGTTATTTGTTGCCCTCCGTAAATGTATAAAGAAGAATTTATAACAGTGGTAGAGTGATAGGATCTAGGATATGGAACATGAACATTTGAGTCCCGATAACTCGTCCAAGTTTTTGTTGGTATATCGTAAATATAAAAATCTCTAGTGTCATACTCTCTTGGATTATCAACATCTGGTTATTTATTTATTTATTTATTTATTTTTTTTTTTTTTACGTATAAAAAAAAAAATAAATAAAAAGAGAGAGAAAGAAAATGAAAAAAAAGGAGAAAAAGGAAAATTTAAAAAAACAAAGCAAGGTAAATAATAATAAATCAATACGATATTATTAAAACCAACCATTCATATTACATCTTCCACCAAATAACACCAAACAACTATCGTTTATAACATTCAAAGAATGCATTTTACGCGCGGGAGGTAAATCACCACCTTGACCCATAACTTCACTAAGGATCATGTCTTTCGTGTTTAATTCATATAATGTCCCACTGGGTTCTCCGGTATTTAAACATTCTCCACCAAATAAATAAATAATTGGCGAGATTGCTGTAGCGATCGTTGATCGTAACGGTTGATATTTGCTTTTTAACTGTTTAGGAATGCTAACATTAATATTGTCTTCAACATAATCTTCCGAAGGTTTCAATACTTCATTATTAGAATCTTCAAATAATGAGATGGATTCGACAAATGTAACCTTTTCTCGTGTCCAGCATAAAGGATTTCCTTCGTCAAAGTCCAAGATCCAACAAATTGGTGATTCTTCTTCAAGAATTGTTAGATATAATTTGCCATCCACTAATACACCATCGCGATAATTTTCCGCGGGGGGTACATTTGGATCTAACCGATCACCGTCCGCAGCTAACAGTGATGACGAAGCAGCACCTAAGTCACCATCGGTTGAAATAAAATTGATAGGAATCCACCTAGGTGAATTGTAACCAACATGATAAATTCTGAAAACTCCATAAATCCATTTGCATGTTAATGCAAAATTTAATTGATCTTTTTCAGTCATGAATTCAAAAATATAGTAAAGAGATTCAATCGGTAATTTATAAAAATAATTTGCCGAGGTCATTCTCCTATCAAAAGATTTTTTACCTTTTTTTTTTTTTGTTCTTTTTCTCTTTTGAAAAAAGGGTGAGAGAAGAGAAAGAGGAAAAAAAAAAGGAAAAAAAAGAAAAAGAAAAAAAAAAGGTATTTTTTTTTTTTTGTCGCGAAATACCACCTATTTGTATTGATTGATAATAATAATATATTAATTTTTTTATTATTATTTCACAAGAGGCGATGGAGAGGCAAACAACAAAAGTATTTATATCAGATTCGCGAAATATGACCCAAGCAGTACATACTAAAATATCTTTCAAACTTGCGGCGTAGAATAGTAAGTAAAAAATTCTTAATATTTTTTCATTAATGATCGTCAATTCTGTTCTAAAAGTAAAAATACTGTTAAATCACATAATATATATGTGAACCAAACATTTTTGCTTACAAAATCAATCAGCCACAAAAAAATGTAATGGAAAATATCTACAGAATTTTAAATATTTGTTAGTGAAGAATGGCATACATTTTTTTTGTTAAATGGCATAATATTTTTGTTAATATTACGAAATTAAAATTACGCACACTAACTATTTTTGTGTTATAAATTAATTAATCTAGCTCGAATTTATGCTTAATTTTAAGGCTGATTTCTATGGCTTTTTTTTTTAAAAAAAAAAAAAAAAAAAAATTAATAAAATAATAGTATATGAAATACCTCGGAGATCAATAGAAAGATATTGAAGATAAATTATAATGGAGACTGAGCCTAATTAAGGAACTTTTCTTTTCGACAAAATATAGCACAAGTTTGAGAAGTTAGTATATATATAAATATTTTTCGTTTCGACCATTGATAAGTAGTTCCCCACATAAAAAGTATGATGTATTTGCGTCATATACCTGCAGTTAACCAAACTAAGCAACAAACAAATAACGATTAATTTATATTATAATATGCAATAATTTTTTTTAATCATTAAAAATTGATCGATCCATGCTACAGGATTTACCTTGAATATTTATTAAATTTCAATCTTTTTTAATACTATATTTGTATCGATCGACAAATTCGCCTTTGCTTCTTTAAGATTAGAATGTCAGAATCCTTAGGTCTGTGCTAAAATTGATGATTAAAATATGTCATTTTAAGTATAAATATGAATGTATTGAATAAACATGACATTTTTTATTTATTATTTATATAGTAATTATAAAATATATTGGTTCAACCAACAAAAAAAAACGATCATCAAACCGCGCGTAAATTTTTCTTCGAAAAAAAAAAAAAAAGGAAACAATTCGAATGTCCTTTCCACAAAAAATATTAGCAACGCCATTATGAACGCCACTCGGGTGAAGATGAGCCGAATGAAAGGAACAAGCATTTTGGATACCAAGGCTAACCTCATTTCGGTGAAACTCTGAAATATTAAAGGATAGGTCACACGGAAATTACCCGTTCCCGTAAGTCCAGTAGACAGATATAATAATAAAATAATTACGAAATAAAAAAAATATAATTAAATTTGTTAAGATGAATAATTCTTATACAGGGAACATAATTGTTTCACTTAATAAACAATTAATTAAATTATTTCTTTTTATTTTTTTTTTAAAAAATTTTTTTTTCCTAAGTTGACGTATGAGGCTTATATTTTTGAAGATCCATGCATAATTTACATAAACTTCATCAACTTTTAAGATGTTTTATTTTTACCTACCATCTACAAAGTGCTACCACAACAACATCATCCGACAAACCTGACAAAAACAAATTTTTGGCGAATCAAAACAATCAATCATTGCGCAGAAATTAAAAACAAATATCTTCAAGTATTGTGTGTTCATTGAGAGATAATCAAAAGCTTTATCAGTAACCGGTTTTTACGCCGAATAACAAACATAATTCCTAAATTTGGTCACAGTTATAAATAACTTTGATTTTGAACTAAAAATATTTCGAAAAACTAATTTAGGCTAAAATCTAAACATCTAAAGGAATAAGTGATTACCTTTTTTAAATAAAGAATAAATTTTCTCGTCATTTTGCAGGTCTTTAAAAGAAATTCAATGATTTATACTTTTTTTTTGAGCAATCTATTGAGTTTCTCAAAAAGAATATGATAGAATAATCCTGGTCATGGCGGAAAATTAATTCGTCATTGTATGACTACAGATACCAATTCTGATAAATAAATAATGTGCCGCTTATAGAAAGAATGCAAATCAAATAGGTCATAAGACCAATCACATGCTTTTGTAGTTTCTTCCAGAAATTGGGAGAATTTATGAGAACAAATTGTTTATCCAATCGGCTGATATCCCTCCTAAGGGTTCTACAAAATTTAAGTCAATCGTCTCGTGTAATTATTTTATAAGATCGGGATAAAACTTGCATATGCATTTAATAGTTTATAAAGAAACATTTGCATCCGAACCATGCCGAAAAAATGATGGATTCCTGATGATCCTTTCTTAATTTATAAAATAATCGGATTTAATTTTAACTATTGTTTGGCTTATCGCGGGTTTTCAATTCTTTGGCCGGTCAAAACTTTAGGTAGCGTAGACAAAGCTGTACCTCCGTATAGTCAATAATATCATATAACTAAATCTGGCTACCAATATACCCCTACATATATGTTATTATTTTGAAATCATCGTTTATAAATTATTTAAAGAACACAAACCACCGGCTGCGCCTCAAAAATTCCTTTATAGGTAGGAGGTATATGGAGAATAATCAATGACGATTCCCTTAAAAATAATTTAAGGATAAAAGAACTTTAATTAACGGTGTAAAAAGTATTTTTCATTTCTTTATAAAGTTTTTGAATATTTTACTAAAGATACTGTATATTAGCTGCGCTTGCATGATTTGAAGAATTAATAACATCATCATCTTATCAAATTTGCTTTTTAATAATTTATATTTGATATTGTAATACATCATCATATAATTTTTGGGATTTTCTAAATTTAAAAATTCTTCTCTCAAAGTAAACGTTTATAACTTAAAAAATCAAAATAATATATTATTAACAAAAAATATAAAAATCATGATACTTTAAGTCAAATTTTTAATAATAAAAAAAATTGAACAAATATTAATGATTTTAAAGAAAATTAGAGATTCAATATCTTTTTTTTTTCATCATCAATTTTATTGTATTTTTTTAAATTTTACAATTTTTTAACTATTTTCATAATTTTTGAATTAAAAATGTTTGATAATTATATATATATTATATTTTATTAATTCTTTTTAATTTATTTTTAATATTTTTATAATATATTTTTATTATTTATTCAATTATAATAATTGATCTTACAGAAAGTATAAATATTAAAAATAAAAATAAATATAAATTTATATGAAAATAAAAGGATTTGATAATTTACATGAATTTTTTATATATCTTTTTTTCTTAATAATATTATGCAAACTTAATTAAATCTTAGTTTAAATATAATGTAAAATATTTAAAATCCTAGTTACATAAATTTTTTTATTGGCTTGCTATAACATATTTTTCATCTATAGTATTAAAACTAATATTGCTTTCTTTATTTCTTTACAATTAAAATAGTTATATATAATTTTTCAAAACCCTTTAAACTTAAAGAATTTTCAATTACAAGAATATTTGTATTTGCTAAATAATACACTATATTATTAAGATAATAGTGTATTAGTTTTTCATTATTTAGATCAGAAAAGATATTATAATTAAAGATGCCTTCTCAACCTATTTTCAAAAAAAGTTGATGTTATAGTCTATATAAAAATATAGAGTTGCAAGTTGCTGGTTACGATTAATAAGGCCTAGTTACAATGTCATCTTTAATCAATATTTGTCAAATAATTATGATTGGCAAATAACTCAAATAACAAATAACAAATGACCAGTCATTTCAATAATTTTAAATATAGCATATTTTGTAAATTTTTATTATTTATTTTGTTTATTATAGTTTAAATAAGTTAAATTTATTAAAATATTTAATTATATATATTAAAAAAATATTTTATATTAGGCAATATTTTATATATAGTATATTATATTATATTAAATTATATTGAATTCTGAATAAGTTGACTCAAATTATAAGTTAGACAAGTTAAGTCAAATGCTAAACTCAAGTTAAAAATAAAATAATATTTTAGTTTTATTTAAAAGAATGATAAAAGATCATTCTAAAGGAACGATTAAAAGCATTATTTTTTAAGAATAATAGAAGAATCATTTTAAAGGAACAATTAAAAGTATTAAAAGTTATTATTCTGATAAAATAATAGAAAAACCATTCTAAAAGAATGATTAAAAGAATTGTTCTGATAAAACAATAGAAGAATCATTCTAAAAAAATAATAAAAAGTATTGTTCTGATAGAATGATAGAAGAATCATTTTAAAGGAATAATTAAAGTATTATTCTGATAGAATAATAGAAGAATCATTCTAAAGGAATGATAAATAAAATTATTCTGATAGAATGATAATGTATTGTTCTTAAATGAACGATGTAAAGAATCATTCTGATAGAACAATAATGCATTGTTCTAAAAGAATAATAAAAGAATTATTTTAATAAAATGATAATACATCATTTCAATAGAATATTAAAAAGTATTATTCTAAAGAAACAATTTGATTATCATTCCAAAAAGAATAATCTATTATTATTCTTAAGGATGATTCGATTATCGTTCCAAAAAGAACATTCTTAAGAAATGATTTAACTATCATTCCAAAAAGAACACTATATTATCATTCTTAAGAAATAATTTGACTATTATTCTAAAAAGAATAATCTATTATCATTTTTAAGGAACGATTTTATTTATTATTCCTTTAAAATAATCTATTATCATTCTTAAGAAATGATTTGACTATCATTTTAAAAAATAATCTATTATTGTTCTTAATTGCCAATCCACATATGATCTGCAATATTACAT